AAAGAGTGAGTACACCCCAGCCCCTCAAGGTTACTTTTCCTGGCCATATCAGTGAGGAACTTCTCCCTTAACCTGACAGTTTTCGAGAGTGAAAATATAAGCTATAGTAACGAGAAATTCAGAAACAGAAGTTCCTGTTAGCTCCTGCTTTGGGCAAAAGGGGCTGAGCACCTCCCTTTAAGTAAACCAGCCAGAAGGTGATCAAAAATCCAGTACCCCCACGGTTCAGTGGTAGAGCCTGCACATTGCAGTGCTGCTGTAACTGAAACTTTCATTTCTGTGTTCCATTTTACCGAACTTTCAAACTGCTCAGTTACTTCAGCTCTTTCTTGAGGCTGGTGAGTGCCGAAGAGCAGGAATTTACTCTGTTTTTTGCCACCCGCAGCCTGGCACTGCCGAGGTATCTCTCGCGACAGACAACGGCTGCCTCTCCCTCTGACCTGGGGGCAGAGCAAATCAGACACGGGCAGGCAAACCCCACCATACTGCTTTTAAAAGTGAAGTTGTGTAGCCCTTTCACCTGTTAAAGGGAAGTAAAATATAAATGGAGATGCAAAGGATGCTGAAATTTCAAATTATAGAATTCTAATTTTCCGAGTCATCTGCTCTGAGAAGACTCAGATGATGTATTTGCTCTCTAAAGGGAGCACCAGGGGATGGATAGGCCAGATAATTTGGGAAAAGATCCAAATGATTTATGAATAGGACTTTTTTATCTTTTGGAGCTCCTTTCCTCTGTTTCTACAAGCCTAATAAAATTGCAGTTTGCAAGATCTAGCATGCAAGAAATGCAAGAATTAGTGCTGCGTCCAACTGCAGCCCAACCCCACTACAAAATAAACATTGCAATGCAGCACTTAGTTATGAGGTTTGTCCCATTATGGATGTTTCTTCCATTGGTTTGCTTAGTGGCTGTTTGAACCTACTTGCATTTTTAATATCTAGAGCATTGCTGGGACATCGCATCCTGTGTTTATATTTGTAGCACACTGAAAAATTATCTATTTTTAAATCCTCTGCCTGAGAAATTCATTTTGTGCCCTCTCCATCTCAGCTTATTGGAAGCAAATGAGTTTCAAATTTATTTTTTCTGTCAGAGCTCAGAGATCTTAAAATGTTGTGAATCTGATTAGCTGGAAAAAAATTAACCTATTTGTAATGGTTGCCATGTTTGCCACAGCTTTGGTAAATTGCTCACAGAATCCCTTCTGACCTGCTCTAGGGTTTTAATGTTAGATTGTTAGAGTTTGAGCTCTTGGTTGGCCCTACCGGCCTCTTTTTGTGTGGCAGTGAGCGTGGAGATGGTTTCTGAGGGGGTTTCAGGAAGGGTCTTTGTGCCGTGGTGCAGTCAGTCTCTCTCTGCCCTTCCAGCTGCTGGACCCTGTGTCTGCTTCATGCGGATTTCCAGCTGTGTCCTGCCAGCCAGACTGCCTCAACGTTCTTCCATTCCACTGTCCTGAATTTTCGGAAAGGATGGTTTAAATCTGGTCCCCAGATCAGGAAGCCCTCCTGTCCAACGCACCTTCTGACACCGGGGTGCACACTGGATTTTTTGCCCAACCATTCTGGGTATTCCTGTCCAAGCAGCCTTGCTGCCAGGCAGGAGGCAGCTGGTGCCGGCACCTCTGCTCCTCCCCGGTGTGGGTGTTTCTCGGGTATGAAGGGGCTGAGCGCCTTCATATCTGACTTCTGGCCTTGACTGCACTGCGGTAGCTCTGACATGTTCTTCCCTAAGCCCAACATTGTACTTCTTCAGAATCTTTTAATTCTGTGACCTTCAAAACAGCACAAACTAAATATATTAGGAAAAGGCAGGAAAAACGAATAAACTTAGTGGAAATTGCATGAGGATGTGGGATTTCCAAGAATGGCTGATGCTGAAACACGGAGGGGTTGAACAGGCAGCAAAGTTTTGCCTTTATTACGTTCAATAGTGCAGCGTACGTCTCTCAAATGATGTTTCGAAAAGCATCGCAAAAACTTACCTTCTATAACTGCTTGCTACGTGAACTGAAACATTCACTAGACAATCTGTTTCACTGCAGAAACTTGCAACAGCTGACAAAGCTGTTTCAGCAAACACGGCAAGAGCTGTTCTCCTGCCTGAGAACTGCCATCACAGTGGGACAGGGAAAAACAGTCCCACGCTCTCTCACACTTTCTACGCAGTTGTTGTTTTAAGACTTCCATAACAAAACTGAGATTATTGGACATACATACCTATATATAAAAGCCATGGCACAGGAAAACACTTAAGAAATAAGGAGCTGTGAACTGTCTTTATAAATAGTGATTACGTTCAGGTCTTTTGTAACCTTCTGTGTTAAGAAGATCACTGGAATAAATGCAGGTTTGGTTTTTTTCTTTTTTAGATAAAAGGATGTTTGGAAGCTCTGAGACTTGGTTAACAATTACAGCAATTATTCAGGGCATACTGGAATGAAGGAAGTTGCCAAAATTTCCAGGAAGAACTAAAATCTTAATTTCATGTACCGTGTAAGGCATTGTTATTAAAAGAAACGCTCCTAAATCCCTCCTCTCCATTCCATTCCTCTCTCAAAACTGTTTGAAATCAGGAAACCCAGGACTCTCACTCCTGGGAAAAGGAGAAGTGAGTGTGTTTTCACTTGACTTGCAAATCTGTGCTGTAGGGGCTACCTTGTCTTCCTGTCTGCAGAGAACTCCTGTAGATCTGCAGCCCTTTTGTGGGAGTAACAAACCGGTACTGAGATAGAGCCATTGGAATTAAACAGTGAGCTGTGCTCCCTCCTTCTGCCCCAACTCTCTGTGGAATTATGGAAGTGAAATGGAAGGACGTAAGACAAATTCTAATTAATGAACATGGGGCAAAACCAGGGTTTGAGGCACGTTGGAGCAGTTACTCCCTGTCTCTATGAAGCAGTCATCTTCGGCAAATGTCAGATACACAGAAACATCCTTGTTAAACTGGGCTTGTTAAATATCTGGTCCAGGCTGGAAGTTTCTCTGTGTGCAAGAAAAAAATACCTACGGTGTCGATTGTGCTCCTGAGTGTCGTGTTCAAGACTTGCAGCAGGGAAAGCACGGACAGGCCTGAGCTTCAGCCATGCAGGAGGTGGCACTTGGGTGGCACTTGGCTCGGGCTGTCAGTGGGACCTGTCACTGCATTGTCTAGCCAGAGAAAACGGGCTTGTGCCCCGTGATTTCAAGACACTCTAATGGACAGTTTGGTGAGAAGCTTGCGTTTTCTTCTTAGACTCCTACAGAGAGCGTGGTACTGCCCCACTTCCTTCGTTTGGGTGTTCTGTGGGACCGTAGGAGCTGCAAGGCTCAGAGCATCTCATGGCCTCGCTCGTCCTGTGGCTGCTGCAGTGAGATCCTGACCCGCTCATGGACCAATCCTGAGCGTTATTGGGGGGGTTTTACTGCCACATAGCACTAGGGTACAAATTGCTTCTTCCAAAGCCGAGAAGATGTGCAGATGCAAAATCTGCATCCTGAGAAAGCAGCCGATTTTTCCACTCACCCAGAAAACTTCCTCTCTTGTTTGCTGTAGCAGGGGGAAAAAAAGAAAAAGAAAAAAAAAAAGCAACATACAGTTACAATTTCCTGAAAGAAGGAAGGCCCAATCAGGATATCCCCTCTCGTAGGCTCATTTCCAGGCTAATGCAGCTAGAAAATACTCCAGTGTTCTGAAGCGCTGTGGTTGGCTTGCTGGTTTTTTCACAAGAGCAACCTCCTTGGCAGAGTACATCTCTAGACAGAGTGACAAGTAACAGGGATTCCTTTTTCAGAACTGCGGAGCAGCGTCTCTGGGAGACAGAGACTAAATCCGCAACATTTCTGTAATGGTAAAACATCAGGGCTTGCCAGGCTGCAGACAGGAGCAGACACCAGGCTGTACTATAAATCCCGTCAGGAGAGCAGGGTCACAGCAGGTGTGGGAGTAACTGAGAGGGTGCACTGGACCGGCCTCTGACTGACAGCAAGAGAATTACAATCTCTTTCTTGCCCCCATCCGATCACCGGGACTTAAAGCCTCTGAGCATCGCTAAAGCACGTGCTAAGGAAGGTTAATCCTCGCATGTGATACAGATACCTGCCCTGTCTGTTTCTGTTTGGGGAAAACAAACCCCAAGCACTGAAGATAAAGCACTAATACATTTTTTATGAACATAATGCATCTTCTGGAAGTCCCAGGGAACCTTTTTCCATATGTGCTCTGCAGACTGCTGCCCAGCTGGAAGACCCATTGCTCTGTGGATGTCAGCATCCCAACCTCTTCCTCCTCAGAATGGGCGGCAGCGATGCGATGGGTTTCTTTTTACAATTGCCATGTATTGGGCCAACTTAAGATGAGGGAGTGGTTGCATATCAGAAAAGAAAATTAAACAATAGGAAAATATTTACTGAGGAAAGGACTAAAACATTTACCAGCCTCTCAAAACACAGATAATACCCCTGTCACCTGTGTGTACACTATTTGTCACAGTAAAGTATGTGCAGTTCCTGGTGCTTTGTCTTCTGAACTGTTAATGTCATCTTCAGTGCACATCCCAGAGAGAAACCCGACTCTAAAAAATGCGGGGAGTGCATCACAGCTAAAAAAACCCCGGTGTGTTAGTGCGGTCTGCAGGGAAACTAGAGCCAGGCTCGTGGCATCGGGACAAGTGAGAGATGGCACCCAGAGCTCCAGAGGGAGGCAGGACATTCCCTTCCACCAGAGGATCCTCCAGCGGTGCTCCATGGGGGAGGAACCCATTTTCCTACCAGCACCAGAGAAGCCTGGGGCAGGGCACAGTAGCAATAAGAACTAAGAAAAAAAAAAAAAAAGAATGCAATGCCCTTGCAGCCAAGGGCAGTCAGACCAGACACAGAGGAGGAGGAAAGGCTTGAGCAGCAAGGACAGCGTGAAGGGTCCGCGTCGTAAGCGAGAGCTGACTCTCCCAGGCAGAGGCATCCCCAACACCACCTTGGTGCCCTCCTCAAGGCTGGGACGTGGAGACAGTAAGAAAGAGTTTTTGGGCTGGCCACACCACAGAAAGCACGTTTGCAAGTTGCAGACCATTTGAAGAATTACAGTCCTTGTATTAGCCTGGGATTATTTGCCATGTGGAAGGAAATTGATGAATGTCTTATTTAGTTTTGGGGGGGTTTGTTGGGTTTTTTTAATGTGGGAGCAGATGCATGGTGCCATTTTTGCAAACTATAAATACTTAGGCATAAAGAAAAGATTTCTCATTGCAGATGGATGTAGCACTGTATTTTAGTCCCCAGCTGGCCGGGTAAACACATTGCGGGGTGGGGAGGTGGGGGGAAGGCTATTTCTGCTGTGTATTCGTCTTCTCCGAACACGTTTTTCACGTCCTGGCTGTCTGGTGAGCCTGCTAAAGCTACCGGGCCTGTTCCTTTGATGTTTACAAACGGGTATATGACATTTTACACATTTTGCAAATGATAATTTTGTTTACTTATTCTATTTTTTCAAGTTACTTACTTTGCTAGACTTTATGCTAGCTTCTCATTTGGACACACATTTGAGTTATCATTTGGAGTGGTTGGAGTTTTGAGGTTTCTTTGCAAGGGTTTGATCTTGTTCATGACCTCCCTAACTCTGCTGTCCAGCCTATATTTCTCCATTCCTGTGCTGGACCACATACATCTGCTCTGCACCTCCAATGTGGTAGCTACGTCCTTGCAAACATTTTTACTTTCTCCTTTTAATTTCTTTTTAACAAGTCCCTAACTTTTGTGCATGTCACTTGTTTGATGTGAAACACAATGGTGCTGGAAGGTTTTGACTTGTTTTACCTGCGAGGATGTTGTGCTGTGGGCTCGCTGTGTAACCAAGCAGCACTTGAGGAGTGACCTGCTGACACAGGTCCTCTGCGTGGGTCAGGACTATTTCAAGTTTTGCTTCTGTTCTTCTCAGGTGTGACCAGCTGCTCCTTTATTAGACACTGAGGTTGTTCAGCAGTTTAGTCACGGGGCCATATCGCAAAGTAATGTTCATCTTCTGCCTGAGGAGCAGTACTTCTCCATCACTGCTACAGAATTCCCCGTTAGTATCATTAGCACATCCGTTCTGCAGTCTCTCTGATTTCTCACAGCATCACGTATCCAGGGTCCCTTCGGGAGAGAAAAGGTTGAGGTGGTTTGAAATTGAGAGGAGAGTTTCTGAGGCCAGTGCTGAGGTGACCACAGCAGAGGGTGGTTTGCATCAGTCCCAGTTAGTCTGCGGAAGACCGCAGTAGCCAGTGCACCCACCGGCCCCGGTGCCCTGTGGAGCAGCCCAGCTTCCAGCAAGGTCCTTTGCAGAGGGCTGGTGTCCCAGAGCTGTGACAGGTGAGGGAATGAATGGCTTCCGAGGCACTTCTGGGAAAGCACTTGAGGGCCTAGGGAGGTGCGGTCCGGTGGAAGGCGCAAACAGAAGTTCTTTTCTACAGCTGAAAATATTTGTGCTTTTCTACCTTTTCTTTCTGCAGACGTTGCAATCCTAGGAATGGACATTGATGTGCAAACCATAGAGGACAACGTCATCAGCTTGGAGATGCTGTTTAAAACGTGGCTCCACGACTATGGCACCGAGAGAGAGCACCTCCACCTCCTCCTTCCCACAGGAGGCTTCAGCCACGCCGCTGCACCCAAGACCGCCCTAAGTATTTCATTCTCTCTCCCCGTCTGCAGGGAGCCCTTAAATCTCACAGCCGTAAAGATTACCCAGGCCTGCCCTATGGGCACGTTCCCTCACATTTAGAGAGCCAAGCAAGGCCTCTCTGTGGCTTTGAAAGATCTCAGGAGTTTCTGTTGTCTCGGGCTGAGAGGAGCCATTTGCTTGGAACACTTTTAGGTTGGAGCCATGTCCTGCGGCTGCTGGTGCTGTAATTCATTTCTGTTCTGCAGCACAAACATGCGTGCAAGAGTACGTGAATTTATAGCCTCTTGCTCAAGGTAAAAGAGGCTTTACATATTGAGAGCCAAGGACCTTCTGGCTCAGCTGTGCAGCCCTAAAAATTGTGTTCCTTGTGCTTGATATTCAGTCTGTGCCAGAGCTGCACTTAAATAAAGGCTGTCTTACAAAGGGACTTGGCTTGTATTCCTATCTATTGATTTAGCAGTAAAAGAGCTCATGTTCCAGCTGGAGCTGCCAGCAGTTACAGTAATGCATGGGGAAATTTATAAGGAATACATAATTTTTCTTTTTCTTTCCAAACCTTTCTAAGTCCAAATCCCTAATCCACCCTTGGGTGAGCGTCGAAAGCACTGACACAGCAGATGTAGGTGTTTCGCTTGAGCTGTTGACAGCCTTGTCACCCCTGGCCTGCCCTGGGGATCTGCGCTGGCGGTTCTGGCAGGCCCCTTGGCCTCCGCCCCCCCCCCTTCCACACCGACACAGCGTGGCCCCCTGTGCCACTGCAGTTGCTTCTCGTGTGCAGTTCCCCGTGCCATGGCAGCAGCAGAATGCTTGGTTTCTTCTGGTGACCCACAGGCCGGTTCCGGACTGGAAGTAAAGCTCACAGAGTCGCTGGTGGCTTTTGTGGATATGCTCCACAACAGGCACATCAGAAAGCCCGATGTGAGTTTTTATTTGTGTGGTAGCTCCCGTAACAGCCTCCAGACCGACACAGGCAGTGAGGATATTTCCTTCAGCATACGATTGCATTTCATACTTGATGCATTGTCGTCTTATCACTATAAAGACAAACCAAGTTGCCCTGCAGTTGGGTTTTTTCACCTTCCCACACTCAAGAAATCTGCAGGCCGGAGAAATCATATGCAGCTGTCATGTTATACCACAGTTGCTGTCATCAGGGTGCTGGGTTTCTCCACGAACACAGGTAGAAAAGCCGGCTGTAAACGCGCGGCCTAGAACCCAGGGAGGGAAATGCACTTCTGCTCCCTCTGCAGCTGGCTGCTCACCTGCCCAGTTCCCGACAGATCACTGCTTCATCAACAGGCCAAGCCTGTGGTATTGCCCCTTGCGTGTAAGATGGGGACAGATTGTTGCCTTGTGGCACAGATTTTGGCGTTCTTCTTGCCTTAATAGTTGCTACTGCTAGAAAATATTAACTTAGTGTTGGTAAGTGCTCTGAGTGTCTCATGTACTAACTGTGTGTTGCCATTACCAGCAATCTAAACCGTTCTCTTTCTCCTAGTGTGCCTGAAGTGTGATTTGCAGGAGAGATTGCTCGACCCAGCTCTACTTTCAGGAACGGCTGATGGCACCACGAGAGCAGCAGATCTGAATTCTCCCTGCCAGATGGCAGCCTGGCCCGCTACAGTGCTGTATAAACTCCGGGTTGTGAAGTAAGAGCTGTTAAGTGCTTTGTGCTTGGTAACTGGCATGAAAGCAGCCTTCACGCTTCGGTGCAGTTTCACCTAGGGCTTAGTACATCACCATAACGTGCTGAGCGACTCAAAGCGCGAGTGGGCAAAACCCTGATGTGAGATATGCTCAGCGCCCATAACTCTTAATGTTATGGAACAGCACATCCCCCACACACAGACAGGAGAGCAGAGACAAAACCACTGTTCCCGTGACTCTAGTGCTTTATGAGACTAACACCGTAGATGTTATTCGTGTCATAGTTGTTTCCCTCCAGTGTGAAGTTCTGTAGATTGCAGCCATTGCTCCAAATATAGTTCTGCTGTTCTCTCACTACCTAATGATTCCACAGCAATTAATTCACTGTCAGAGCCTGAGCTAACTAATTGACTAATAGTAAAAAAACAAGAAAACCTCATAGTGCTGTGTGACTTCATGTAAGAATTTGTTTGGTTTCCTGTCAGCAGTCTGTGGCTGGTAAGCACGGAGCATAACAAGAAGAGTGATGCACTCTAGTGTCTTTTCTGAGGTTTAATAATAGGAAAAAAAGAAGTGTAGTTTCTGAACTACACAGTTGTTCTTAAAATGATTTGTCATCCTGCCAGTAGCCGAAGAGTGCTCGGTAACTGTGCCTGGATGGCTCACAGCCAAAGCACTGAAGCCACTTCATAACAGCCTGTCCTGAGGCGAAGTGTCACAAGAGAGGCTCTGTCAAGCACTGCGCAGTCTGTAACGGTGCTTGTGGTGGGATGTTGGCTCTGCGCAGAAGGAGAACACGTGTCAGTTTAAGTGAAGAATAGCAACAATCCAGAACAAAAACACTTAAGGAGAGATGTAATTGCCTGAGTGAGATGTTGCCCAAGAGGCCAGATGAACAGTCTGCTTTGTATAGAAAATGCAGGGAGACTGGATTTGTGTCTTGGTGTGCTCTTGTCAGTGCAGGTACAGGGGAGTCTGGAAATCAGCAAGAAAGGCTCTTTTCCCTGCAGTTGGACTGTTCTGTGAGGCTGCGGCGACAGCCCACAGCGACACAGACATTAAGTGCCTGTAGCAGTATCAAAGCTGATCCTGCCAGAGCTCCCTGAGCGAGTCACCTCCTGGCAGAGTCTTCTTGGTTTCCCGTTGGTTGCTCTTCAGTAACATGAGCTGTATGTTTGCAGGGCTCTGAAGTCTGAAGGGGTCTGTGAGTCTGTCCTGTATGGCCTGCCCTTCATCATCAAGCCCACAAGCTGCTGGCAGCTAGACTGGGATGAACTGGAGATAAACCAGCACAGCTTCCATGCTCTGTGTCATAGTCTTCTGGTGAGTGTGTGAAAATTGCAGCCTCATGGGGAGGCATTGCCATAGAAAGGAATAGTTAGGGCACATCTAGTAAGATCTGTCTAGCCTGCACCAGAAAACGTGTTTCAAAAGCTGCAGCTTCATCTCATGGGCCAGAGCTGGGCTTGTAAATCCTTCCAGCCAATGCAGCCACTGGAAGGAAGCTACAGCACATCAAACCTTAGAGAAGGTTCTCCAGCCTATCAGAAATCCAGTGTTTGGAGGTATGAAGTGCAAAAGTCAGGGTTGGAGTTAGACATACATCTTTAACTAGGAAAATAATTAATCAAGGCTTGGGGTGTGGAGGAGTTTCTATTAGTGACAAGTCATAAAGCAAGATTGGATGTTTTTCTGAAGAATCATCTCACATTCAATTAAAACAGCCAACGACAAACAACATACTATCCCCAACCACAGTGCAGAATAGTGTTCTTATTCTGATGGGTAAGAGTGTCTCTGCTCCTGAGCGCAGTAGCCCCTGCAGTGAAAGTCCTGAAGGAAGTGGCTACAGCCCGTTGTTCACATCGGTTTTGGCTTCTGCCATTTAGAAAAGGAAGTGGATGCTTTTGGCCAAACGTGAGCCACAAAACACTAGTCCCAGCTGGAACGTCATGCTGCATTCTTACTACGTCCTTGTCCCTTCCGACTCTGCCTCTCTGCTTGTCAAAGCAGTCGCCACCAGAGAGCTCTTGCTGCCGTCGACCTTCCCCGCGCTCCTCACTGAACATCCTGAGAGGGTGTGTGCCCCGGTGGAGGTGAGTCCTTGGTGGCCCTGCACCAGGAGCTGTGGAAAGGGTCCCGGGAGTACAGGCAGGGAGCAGAATAATGATCAGCCTTTAGGCACAGGAGAAGCAGGTGCTGCTGAAGATGTATGTATCTCCCTCATAGCTAGGGAACATGAATCGTCCCAGACTGCAGAAAGAGGTGCTGTGGGCATAAGATAAATCAATACATAACGTGTCTGTGTTTCTTCCAAAAGATTCAGGCTGCTGCACATCCTGTTGTGCAGGGAGTGCAGTGACAGGACGAGGGGTAACGGTTTCAGACTGAAAAGAGGATAGATTTAGATTAGACATGAGGAAGAAATTCTTCACCGTGAGGGTGGTTAGACCCTGGCACAGTTTGCCCAGAGAAGCTCTGGCAGCCCCCTCTCTGGACTTGTTCAAGGCCAGGTTGGACAAGGAGCAAACTGGTCTGGTGGGAGGTGTCCCTACCCACGGCGGGGAGGCGGACTAGATGGTCCTTTCCAAGCCAAACCATTCTGTGAGCCCATGATTCTGCAATCTGTGCGTTCTCCTGAGTTGTCTGCCTCTGCTTCAGGTGATGCCAGGAAGGGCAGAGCCCCTGCTGTGCGTCTTAGCAGATGAACAGAGGAGGAAACAGCTGTGAAAATGTCTAGTGACAGCTGGAACATGACAGAGCACTCCAAAATGTCTTCCTATAGCTTTCTTCAGAGGGCAGATGCCTGTCCTTTGGAGTTTTTCTGAGGGAGAGGATATCTTATGAAGCAGAGACGTGAGGGTGATGGTGCCCAGAAGGGGTGCTCCAGCTTGTCGTCTGATTCTGGGCATGGGGATGACAGGACTGCATCCTTCAAGGGAATGCTTAAATCCTCTAAGACCTGGTTGCAGCTGCCTCTTGTTCTCTACACAGCTAAGAGGGGCCCTTGTGGGTAGCAGCACAGCCAAAGATCCCTTCTCCCATCACTGCTGGGTGGCATGGAGCATCTGAAACAGCCAGCCCTGCAAAAAAAGAGCCCTTAGCACTAAAACCACACAAAAAGACCCCAACCAAACCCCACCACCTCTGCCTGTCACATCTCATAGCCATTAAGTCCTTTCTCCTGTCTGAGCAGAGTGCCCTGAACAGCTTGGAAGTGGAAGTTGCTTATAACCCCTTGCACCTAAAAAGTAACCTCTACAAATACCTGAAGGGTGTGTTGTACAAACCCCTGCACAGGCAGCAGGCCCAGCCCAGGGACCAGCGACCAGAGCGGCATCAGCCAAAGCAGGTGAGTCTCTTGCCTGTGGCTCGCCCAGACGGACTCTGTTCTGCCCTTCTGGGCTGTGAGCTGCCGCGGGGCTGAGGGCACTCCCTGGCACCCCGGTGGTGCAGGGATGGCAGCGCGGGGCAGCAGCGGTGTTCCTCTGCAGCTGGCAGAGCGGAGCAGGGGGTACAGCAGGGGATGCTGAGCAGCTGGCACACAGACGGAGCAGGGGGTACAGCGGGGGATGCTGAGCAGCTGGCACACAGCCCCAGTTGTTGGACGAGCCAGCGCCTCTTCCCACGAGGCGCATTCGTATTTTGTCCCTGTGTTGCAGCATCAAAGCAGAGCCAAAGCCGCGGTGGCCCCCCTTCTGATGGCTCCTTCTCCTGTCCAAGTGTCCAGGCCGGCAGCGGTGGGGAGAGGTTCCAGTGAGCGCTCCCTGCTCCCCAAAGAGTACGACGAGTTCCTGCAGTGAGCCCGGGGCCCTGCCTGAGCCCGCTCACGCGCAGTCTCGGCTTCACTTCTTGCTCGCTGCCCGGGC